AGATTTAAAACTTTCTTTCCTATGGCAGCGATGTTATGTTACGAAAGAGCTAATTTTTACCATTTACAGAATTTTTGGATTTTACAACTTCTTTAACTAACACACTTTGTTAAGTTACTTCTGTACATTTTGTACTTTTGTAATTGCATGTCATTTTTAAAATTTTATATTTTTTGTTATAACTAGGATTTATTTATCTATTTGAAATGACATCTTAAACCTTGCTTTGCTTACAACACATCGAAATAATCGAAATTTTGACATTCTATCGAACATTATTTTGATCGATCTATCAAGATTAACGGAAGAAATTTGATACGTGGGGTGATTTCCCTAAGGTTGGGTTGCCATATGTGTAAAGAAGTAAATGACAACGGTTGACATTCATCATCTAGACCTCTGGCTAAATAAAGACCCCCGCCCCCTTATAGTGCATACGTAATATTTGAAAAACCTCTAGCCATATCTTAATCGTATTATATTATGGGTACTTAACTATGGATAGATAACACAATTGTAAGTATTTCGATAGTAAAATAATTTTTATAAACAGATCTTGAGAATCCCAACTTTATCATAAAAGCCGCATGCGGCTCTCGAGCCACTGATTTCTGACCCCTGACGTATGGAGAAGCTTCGTCATACCCGGGTGACTTACACTATAATGAGGAAGTATTTTAAAAAAACGAAAGGACTAAAAAGCACTTCCACTAGATGGCGACTCTAGCAAAAGTTGATTTTTGCAGGAAACGAATGGACCAAAGACAGTCATTTCCGTTCCTTTTAACTAACATATTAAAAAAACTAAAATTTGAAAAATTCGAAACTTAGATATCAATACAAATACGAAAAATTACAAATAGAATATGAGTTGTTAATTGACTTTTGAAAACTAATTTACTTTTAAACCTGAAAGAAAACCGGAAAGGTTGTCATGGGGAAATCAAGAACGGACATCTAGTTTGATTTCGGGAACTAATGTTAGTTTTTAAATACTTCCTCAGTTACGCGGTGAAGTCGCGGGAAAACAGTTATGTACTATAGAGGTATCTAAAGTACGCACGGTAACGAAATTGTAAACGTGTCAATTACATTTTAATAAAAACATATAATATGATGACACGGAATTAAAAATCTCAATGTATATCAGTTACAAAAAAGAATAAGATATTTTAACTATCTATAAATATTTTATTTTGTTCCAACATGGCTTGACATACTGAATCGTACTACACTGTAGACCGGTTTTGACACGCGTTTTTTTCTGCGTAATTAAACTCACAGATTAGTTGACTCTCTAAAACGAGTTTTATTAATCAACAAAGCTTATCATATTATGTTAAACTCGATTCTTAGTTATATTGATTGTATATAAGCGTAATCAATTTGATATAAGTAATACAGTCCTATAAATTGCTAATTTGAGCCGTGTGGGGTCAAAAAGATGATTCCGTGAGGTCCCAGAGCCCATCGTCCATAATAAGAGATAAAAAATAAACTTTTGACTCGTCTGGTGATCAGAAGGCTGGCTTGTACCCAAAGAATTGGTTTGGCAATCCAAAGAGGAAACGCTCACAGTCTTCTGAACACCTTACCTGTTTCCAATGGTTATTTTTTATCTTGTATAGTTTAAGTCATAGTATAGATAAGTAGTTCAATATTTTGTTAATATTTTTTAAGTTGAAAACAATATATTAATATTTCTTAATAATAATAAATAAATAAATACTACACAGTATGCTCTTCTCATTATTTGTTGTTCTATGTATTTTATTGTGATACATTAAACTTATCCATACCCATATTTTTTTAATTATCATGATTATATGATTTTTTAAATATTTGTGATTATGTATACATAATAATTATAAATAACTGCAATAAAATATATATTTTTGTGAGTTAACTAGTTTTAAACAAAGTCGCGTCCCGCTGTTTGGACACTGAGTTCTTTTAAACGACACAACGAATAGCAATGCGATTTTCCTAAATATACTAAGTGATTCAAGTAGAAGGTTTATTATGTATATGATATGGCGAAGCCGCTGGCGTAAAAATTATTTTATTATGTATTCATTATCAATGAACAACAGCATTGATTCCAAAGATAAACCTTTAATTTTTTGCTGTTATATTTACCATATGTATGTTATGTATGTTGTTAAAATAACATAACATAGGGTTACAATACTCGGGTCGCCGCTAAATACTTATCAAGAAGTGCATAAAGTGTAAAGTGAATACTTATAGTTTTAATCTTAATATTGTTAACAGGATTTAAGGATTAAGAACGGCTTAGACACCGATGGCTTAGCACGTTGATATACAGAGGACAATATATTCAATAGTTAAATCCATTAAGCAAGTTTGCTGTATATTCGGAATGAAACAGATAATATAATTTTTGTTTTTGCCGAGATGAAACAGCATTTTAACTTTGCAGCAAACAACAGTAACGGAATTTGCATACAAACGCAAAGAGACTAGGTGCTTATGAATGAATCGCACGAAAAACTCATAAAATATGAGAATATTTTCATTTTATCCAAAGAATTTATGGTTTTGTGAAAGTTTCTTAGTTAAAAAATTAATTTTATCTATTATATTCATCTATTCAAACAATTTATAAGTCCCGTAAATTGCTAATGCGAGGAATATAATGAAGATATGTGTTTATCGATGTGAATCTGATTTGTATATCAATTTCTCAGAGAAAATTATAGAGAGTCACGTGTAAGAGTCCACACGTTGTTTAAATATCTCGGAATCATTAAAAAACGAAAACGGCGAAAGTAATTCAAGAAATTTGAGACAGATTGGTAAATTATTATGGACTCGCCGATATTGCGTCCTGTGTCCGAAAGGTAGGCGCTCACGTGTTTTGAAAAAAAAAAATCATCAAAAATTGTATTACGTCCTAAACAGTAGGTAAAACAGTAGGGAGAAAAATGTTAGAATATTCAAAAGTACTTTTAGGAAGTCAATTTATATAAATATTATTTTGACTTTATTTTTAACATACCTGAAGCGCACACTTTACCTATAAGACTTTAACTGTTATTGGTTAACTCTCTCTGATAACTATGAAGTAACAATAACTACTTTTTAGATGTATTTTAGAAGCATACTTACTTTTTCGAATCAGATTATCAAACAGGTTCAGGGTTTAGTGATTACTTAATATCAAAAATATATTGAAAAATCATTTTGAGCAGATGTTACGGATAGCTCGAAATAAAAGATTTATGGTGAAATACTGGGATTCAGGGAATCGAAATAAGAAAACCGGGAGAGGGCTGAATGACAACTGTAATTTTTGGCATGTAAAACAAAAATACGTATAAAATCAATAAAAAAGAAAAAAGGCTTCAAATTAGGATGGTTGGATTGATTCAAGGTTGGTAACAACAGGGTTGATATTTTTTATATTATGTTTGTAATAATTATGCGGGGATATATATAAACTAGATCTGTGTCGATCGCGAATCATGAATCTGTTAAGTACTCGATATTTTGACCCTCACCTTCAATCAAACAACAAGCAAAATATCTTCTATCTCTTTTGTTTACACTAAAATTTTAAAAAATTCCCACCATTTTTAAATACGTAACATGAACAATTATTCTGACACGTCCATTCCACTGTCGGTAATATAACGAGTGAATCATGATCGACCCGATTTACTATAAATAATCTATCGACACAGCTCTAGTATTAACTTGATATAAAAGTATATTCCAGTAGTTATCGAATAAGAACCTAGAGCATCGAAGGCTTTCACTCTCATTTCCCCAGCCATTTCCTCGTGGCGGAACTAGTTCTGTAAATTTGCATGCGATAATAGCTTTCACATAACAATAGACCTGGCAGTTTTCTATAACTATTTTCATGTCTTTGTATTACAAGATTATGACTGTTTTTATTTAAAAATACGATTTTTCGTATTAGGAAATCTCCCTTCTTTGTCTAAGTACAACAGAGTGTTTTAATTATTAATTTTATTTTTGGCAAACATTGCATTAAAAATAATTAAAAATTATCTTCCTTGTAGGTACCTATACTTATATATGGCTGCACGCCAAGTTGCCACAATATGTCAAGTTTCTCCAATTGATTTTAAACTGTTTCCTCGAAGCATTAAGGTTTAAAATGAAGTCGAGTTTGACTTTGTATAACCTGATGTGTTATTTACCGTATAAATTATTGTACATTTGAAAATAAAACACCATGTAATTTCTACATGTATTTATTTGAATATAATTAAAGACAAAAACATCAATACAAACATGCCATTTTAATAAATAATTATAAAAAAATAAATTAAGACCTAATCAGTAAATTACACGTTTTTTTATAAATGTAATATAATATTGATTTTTAAATTTTACTTAGTAAGTAATATACTTAAAGCTTGAGATATTGGATTACTTACACCGACCATTGATTAGTTTGATAAATTTAAATTAGAATAATCATCTGATGTCAATCTAACTTTAGAAATTAACAAAACTGGGTTATGTGAAATTATAAAATAATTTTCATTTGCAATGTGTTTTGATTGAATAGAAGTAGATGTAACAGTATTTTGGATATTCTCGACATGCCATCAATATCATCAACATCTGAAGAACTAGGCGTAAGTAATATTTATTATTGATAATTCCAGATGCCTCAACAAGACTAGTTGTAGTCAAGATTAAAGTAGTTGTTAATGTTTCTTGTGGTAAAAAAAAGCTGGTTATAAGATTATAAGAGAATTGTTATAATGAGTCGATATAGTACGATATAGTAGAATTAACAATAGGCGAAAAATATTCAATTGTTTTGTAGTAAACACTCGGATATTTCATAGTCACGATCATTGTTTAATGAACTACCTGTAGTTTTTAATATTTTAGGGATAACAGAAGTAATTGCACTATCAAATCATCTATCTAATAGTCAAATAGTCTGTTAAACCGTTTTTGTTGTTATGGTTTAATGCAGTATCAGCACTTAATCATATTTTAGATTTCTTTAGAGATGTATTTTTAGTCAGTCTGTTATCAAACATTCGTTGTGAATGGGTTGAAGAAGGATCTGTAGTTAATAATGTATCGTTTGTTTTTGAAGAGGTGGTCTGAATCACATAATTCGTAGCTAAACATTTGTTGTCATGGGTTAATAAATTATTATCAGTATTTGGTAATATTTCAGGTTTCTTTAGAGAGGTGGTTTTAGTCAAAACGTTTGTTAATAAATATCCGTTGTTATGGTTTAATGAAGTATCAGTCATCGATATTTCAGGTCCTTTTAAAGGCTTGTTTCTAGTCAAATAGTCCATTATCACGTTTTTGTTGTTATGGGTTGATGAGATATCATTAGTTGATAGTATTTCAGGCGTCAAAGATGTGGTTGTATTAAAAAAATCCGTTGCTAAGTATTTGTTAATAGAAGTTGATGAAAAATCTCTAGTTGATAACATTTCTGTTGTGTTCAGGGAAATATTTCTAGACAAATAGTCAGTTAACATGTGTTTGTTGTTATATTTTGATGGCGTATTATTAATCGATAATGTATCAAGTGTCCAATTTTCATTTAAAATTGTATTCAAATAATTCGTGTTATTTATTGATGAACTATTTGAAGTTAATAATGTTTCTGGTGTCCTTGAATTATAAGTTTTAGGGGTTTTCATAGTTGATGATATTTCGGGTTTTTTTAAAAGGATGTTTCTAGGCAAGAAGTCCGTCATCGTGTACTTATTATTGTGGGTTGTTGAAGTGTCAGTAGCTGATAGTGTTTCAGGCGTCCGAGATGTGGTTGTATTAAAAAAATCCGTTTCTAAGTATTTGTTGTTATGTTCTGATGAAGTATTAGAAGATGGTAATGTTTGGAATAACTGATGATTAGTTGCATTTAAGTAATCCTTTACTGAATATTTGTTTTTATTGGTCGATGAGAAATCCTTAGTTGATAATATTTCGGGTGTCTTTTGGGAAATATTTCTAGTCAAATAGTCCGTCACCATGTATTTGTTGTTATATTTTGATGATGTATTAGTAATCGACAGTGTATCAACTGTCCAAGGAGTAGTTGTATTCAAATAACCTGTTACTGTGTATTGTTTGTTATGTTGTGATGAAGTATTAGTAGGCGATAATATTTCAGGCATCCGAGAAGTAGTCGTATTGAAATAATTCATTAAAAAGTATTTGTTCTTATAATATGATAAGGTGTCAGTAGTTGATGATATTTCAGGTGTCTTAAAGGCAATATTTCTAGTCAAATTGTTCGTCGCTACGTATTTGTTGTTATAATCTGATGAACTATTAGCAGTGGACAATTTTTTAAGTGTCCAAGGGGTAGTTGTATCCAAATAATCCGTTATCAAATACTTCTTGTTATTTATTGATGAAGTATTAGGATATGATAATTTTTTAGGCATTCGAGAAGAAGTTGTATTGAAAGTCGATGAGGTTTTATTTGAAGATAACATTTCGGGTGTCTTTATAGGTATATATCTAGTCAAATAGTCCATCACCACGTATTTGTCATTAGGAGTTGATGAAGTATCAGTATTTGATATTTTTTTGGGTAGTTGCGAACTAAACATAGGGATTAATATTTCGGAGCCTATTGGAGGATTAACTTTCGTTAAATAAGTGGTTTTTTCATAATAGCTGTTATGGATTGACGATCTAGAATCATTTTTCAATGTATCGGATGTATTTGAAGTGTATGTCGGTTCTGCACCTGTATACATGTAGTTAGATACAAAAGAATTGTTATTATTGATTAACAAATAATTATCAACACTCAATGTCTCAGATGTATTTAGAGGTCTTGTAGTATTCAATGAATCATTCAGCATATAGTCATTATGGCCTGATGAACTAGTAATAGTTGTTGTTTCAAATTCTTTTACAGGATTCATTATGCTCAAATAGTCAGATATCTCGTAAGTGCTATTATTAGTTGACCCAGAAGACACAGTTTTCAATCTCTCAGATTCTTTTAGTGGTTTAGCTGTGGTAAAGAAATCAATAGCTTCATAGTCACTGCTATTGTCTGATGAACAAGCAATAGTTGTCAATGTTTCAGATTCTTTCAGAGGACTGGCAGTAGTCAATTTGTTGGTAACTTCACACACGCTATGAAGGGCTGGCGAGATAGGAACAGTTTTCAATGTCTTGAATAATTTAAGAGGACTGACTGTTGTTGAATAATCTGATGCCATATTAGCACTATTACAGGTTGACAAGTTAACACTAGTTGTTAATGTATCTGATGGGTTCAAAGGTCTGGCTGTAGGAAATGAATCAGTTATTATAAATTCACTGTAACATTCTGATGAACTAGTTGTTGACATTTCTGATTCCATTATTGGACTGGCTGTAGTAAAATAATCGGTCTCTACATAGTTAATGTGGTCCAAATTAGGAATAGTTGTCAATGTTCTCGGTTCTTTAAGATACTTCCAACTATTCAAATTGTCGGACAATTCATTATCATCGTTGTGAGTTGGAGATTCGTTAATACGTGTCAATAGTTTTGAAGATCCTAGAGGACTATCTGTAGTCAATGAATCAGTTATAATATAGTCACTGTCATGGTCAAATGAACTAGCTATAGATATCAATGACTGAGGCCTCACTGTGGTCAAATATTCGGATGTCATACAAGCATTGTTATAGGTTGACGAATTAGGTACAGCTGCAAAAATCTCATAATCTTTTAATGGCCTGACGGTAGTTAATGAATCAATTATTATAAAGTCTTGGTTATCGTCTGATGAACTAGCAATTGTTTTCAATGTTTCAGTTTCTTTTAGAGGACTGACAGTTGTCAATGAATCAGTTATCAAATGCCTAATGTTGTATACTGATGAATCAGCAGTAGTTGTCAATGACTCAAAGCTTTTTACTGGATTGACTGTAGTTGAATAATCAGATGCCGCATAACCACTGATATAGCTTATCGGCTTGATAGTTTCAGTTGCTGCTGTTTGAGATGGTGATAACAAACTGGCTGTAGTGAGGGAATCGGTTGTCACATCGTCACAGCCATTAGCTGATGAACTAGGAATAGCTTTAAATATCTCAGATTGTTCCGGAGCACTGGTTATGCTTGAATAATCGGATACTAAATCACCATTATAGGTTGACGAACAAGCATCAGTGGTCAATGTTTTATATGTGTCTTTAGGTGTGGTTATAGATAGAAAATCAGTCATCATATAGTCACTATTATGTTTTGATGAACTAGCAAGGGTTGTCAATGTCCCAAATTCTTTTAACGGTCTGGCTGTAGTACAGGATTCAATTATTTCATGATCACCGTTGTCGTCTGATGAACTAGATGTAGTTTTCAAAACTTCAGATTCTTTTAGAGGACTGACAGTAGTCAAATAGTCATATAATTCATAATCGTTGTTTAGCGAATTGGTAATATATGACAGTGGTTTTAAAGATTTTAGAAGACTATCTGTAGTCAATGGATCAGTTATCATACGGTCATTGTTATAAACCGATGAACCAGCAATAGTCGTTAATGACTCAGATGTTTTCAGTGAATTAGCTGTAGTTGAATAATCCGGTGCCGTATTTGAACTGACACGACTCGATGGCTTGACAGCTACAGTTGTTATTATTTCTGATGGTACTAGCCAACTGCCCGTAGTGAAAGAATCGGTTATCCTAGAGTCACCGCTCGTTGTGGTCAGATAATCGCATATTGTACTAGTGATTTTATGAGACGACGCGTTAGGAACAGTTATAAATATCTCAGGTGCTATTAGAGGATTGATTGTAGTCACTGAATCAGTCATATGATCGCTTGTATAGACTGAGGAACCGCTATTATTTTTCAATAATTCAGATGTTTTCAGAGGATTGGTTGTAGGTACATCGTCGGTTACTACATGATTTTCGTTAAAACTATCATCGCTTATTAATGTGTTAAAAGTATTGAAAGGACTGGCTGTAGTATAACAGTCGGTCATCGCATAATGATTATTTTGAGTTGATGAACCAGTAGTAGTAAACAGTGGTTCCGGCAGTTTCTGAGGATTGACTGTAGTAAAATCACTAGGAGATGAAGATTTAGCTTTAATTGTTACTGTTTCGGATGTATTAAGAGGAATCGTTGTAGTCAAATTGTCAGTTACTTCGTATTGGTTATTAACAGCTGATGAAGAATCAATAGTTGTTAAGTTTTCAGAGGTCATTGTAGGACTGGCTGTAGTTAAACTGTTTTTTACTAAATAATAATTATCGTGGTCCGATGAATTAGCTTCAGCCATTGATATCTCAAATGTTTTTAAAGGATTGAGTGTAGTATAACTAGACATCACAAAATTGATATAATCATCGTCCGTTACTACATTTTGGTTGTTGTGGGTTGAAGTATCAATAACCGTCAATATTTCAGTAGCTGTTCTAGGACTGACTGTTGTCAAATAGTTAATTATTTCATATTCGCTGTTATAGGGGGACAAGCTAGCAACTGCCGACGAAGGCTCGGATCTACTAAGAGGACTTTCTGTAGTGAAATAGTTAGTCACCACGTAATCAGTGCTTTTCGTTGACAAACTAGCATCTGTTGCCATTATCTCAGACGTAATTAGAGGACTAGCTGTAGTCAAATATGATAAAAAAGGTGCAGTTGTTAATTTCTTACAATTTTTTAAATTATTATCAGAATATGAATCATCAAATATTGCATGTCTACTGTTTATAGTTGTTACAGTGTCAGTATCTAGGTCGACTGTTTCTAAAATATTGGTGGACAATGAATCATTGGGTAGACCGCATTTCTTATTATATGTCAACGAACCAGGAACAATACTGATTGAATTAGATGTTTGTGAAGAATTAGTAGAAATTTCATTCTTTTGTACAATTTCTGTAAGAAGAGCACTTAAAACATCTCTTTCTATTTCAAATATATTTTTATCTTTGTCAAAACTCGTATTTTGAGAAAGTATATCAAGTAAGTATTTAGTTATAGTCATTACTTCTCTTTTCTGATTTGTGGTTTCAGTGTGGTTGTCATAATCTGATACAGATGCACGATGATTTGATGGTGGCAGAGGTGTTATATTACTAAAAAATATTGTGTTGTCTTTAGGATTAACAAAATCCTCAATTTCACATATTGTTGTAGATGTGAGATCATCTGAAATTGTTAAAGGTGCAGAATATTTAGTCTTTTCAATTGTAGTGGCGATATCTTGAGTCTTATTAGTATTAGCTTGATTATATAATGATGGTGTTGTCATGGTTGATATATCATCTGTACCTGTAATATCTGTAAACTCTGACATTGTGAGGTAAGGTGGTGATAAATTCATTGAAACTAATTTGTTTAAAAGAGTCAGAGTAGTCGAATTTACATATTTCAAAAGTGATTCATTTGCAATAGCTTGACATTTCTCCATGATATTGTTGGTGGACTTGGTCAAAGAATCGTTATTGTATATTGAAGGGTTGCATGTAGTTGTAGAATTTATATATGGAGTTTGGTAAATAGACGTAGCAAACTTATTGTCAGCTGAAATATAGCTTGTTTGCACGTCATAACTCTTTTGCACTTCATCACTCGTTTGCTTTTTCGTACTAAGCGTAATTTCATATGGTACAGTGGTGGTAGTAGCCATGGAAGTACTTTCCGATTCGGAAGTATAAGATGCAGTAAAACCTGCTGAACCGGACGTTGTGTTTGAAGAAGATTCTGAGTTTTCTACTATATAATCAGGTGTAATGGGTGTAGTAATAATAGACGTTAAAATAGTATCTAATGCCGCTGCAGTGACTGGAATATCGATAAAATTTTCATCACTTTCAGTAGAAATCAAATTTATAGAGTAAGCAAATGTCGAAGGGGATTCTGTTTCTGTTACTGAAGCAGTTGTAGTAACATTATCTAAGTAACTATCAGAAGTAGTTGTAGAAAAAACGTTATTACTTATTGTATTTTCAGTAGGTTTTACATTTTCCAAGTTTGTGGTAGTATTTATATTTAATAAAGTGGGACGCTGTGTCGTCTTCACAGCATTTATATCATACAGATCATCCCTCAAGAGTTGTTTAGTTTCTATAATTACTGTATTTGAATTGTTTCTTTTTTCTTCCGAAGTATCTTTAGTGAAAATTATTTTTTTATCGTAGTCTGTATTTCTTTTATTGTTTAAGATTTTTAACAAATTATCTCGAGTGTCTTTAAAAATGGAATTTTCGTTTGTAATGAGTTTCTTCGGGAGATCTTTAGAATTTCGGGAGGCTTTTAGAATATCATTTGAACGTTGATAATTTTTTATGATTTTTGAAATAAGATATTGCATATTTTTATATTTCTCAAAGGGTGATCCAGGATTAAGGGTCGGATGATTATATGGGCCAATTTTTTTATGATTATTCTTAAAGGGCTTGAAGTTCCAATAATTTGGTGACCAAGTCTCGAATGCTGACTGGGGACATTCCATTTCAGTAAATGTTTCTAGTTCATTAAAATTGAAAAGCTCTGGTCCTGGTAAGTATGGTGTTTGAAAGTCATCTTGAAAAACGGGATACTCAACATTTGGGAATTCAAAAACTTTTGCTATAGGCTGATTTTTTACGCTTGCCTGTTCTTTGTCGGCACTGAATTTTTTTTTCTTGCATCTTACACATGGTATCTGAAAAATGAACTTATATAATTATATTATAATTATTTATTTCCTAGTAGAAAAGTAGTGTATTAAACGTTTAGACGCTGTGCCAACGTATACATTGTTGTCTTTCGAATGCAAGCTATCAGTACCTACATATTTATATATTCATATGTTCAATATGAATTTCGCAACGCCTTGCAGATAAAGAAACTTTTTTGCCCAGTTCTCAGTTGCATCCATTTGATATAGCAATTTCCAATAAAAAACGTATTCAGTGGAAATAGGAAAACTAAAAGTTTTCTGTAACATACACAAGTGACTAAACAAATTATGTTACAATTAATTCTTCAAGTAAAGGTGAACGTTTACTGTGTTCCGTGTTAATTTATATATGTGTTAATTATATATAAATCCGGCCACTATCATTATATGAGCAAAGACAATAAATATTATGCGTGCTGAAGACATCAATACTGGTTAATCCCTTATCACAAAATTATCTCAAGGAATGTTTTAAGTTTCTTATCAAAATAAATTTGTTGCATTATGTATGTATATGCATATTTGTATATATATACATATTAGTATATCTTTATATACATATTTTATAGTACATATTTTATTTGCTCTGTATACACCGCTTACTTTCCTTCCCATATTTTAGTTAATTCCACAACTAAATATGGTTGCTTGTATGAATTTTTTTTTTAGCAATAAGGCCGCTGATTGCATTGTTCATTTATGTTTATACGTTGTCTTTTTTATGTTGTACAATAAGGAATTCATTCATTCATTAGTCATACAAATTACTTCCGTAGATCTACTTCATAACTTTGCAGTGATAGGTGAAAACTGCCAAATGATTACTAAATAATTGTATTTGAAAACCGGATATAGTGGACGTGTGACATCAGCAAATTCGTACGGTCAACATCACGTCAAATAAAATAAATAAGTGAAATTTCTAAACTTGATTTTAAAACTGAATATTTCGAGGGTAGACTTCTAAATGGTGAGGACATAGTCGACGTTCACCTTTAATTATAATGTTTTACAATTGACATTCATCGTAAATATTATAAAACAACAGCCGACTGTCTTTGATTATTTCCACCGGTCACTTATAAATCGTGAGGGTAGCCTTCTAAATCGTGATGACACAGTCAACGTTCACCTTTAATTATAATGTTTCTCAATTGACATCCATTGTAAATATTGTAAAACAACAGCCGACCGTCTGATTACTTCCACCGGTAATCAGGACCACACTAAATATGTGAAACTGATTCCATAACCAACGCGTGACGACATTAATTGCGGGAAATATATTGTAGGAATTGTTTTCACGTTTGCGCAGCGCCTTACCCTATGATATCAACTAAAACAAGACTACATTTCTTACCTGGATGAATATACCAGCTGCAATTAATATTGCCACCTTTTCACTAACTCTCATAATGTTACACTATTTTTTATTTAGTCCATATCATCAGTTTTATTTATAAACTTGCACCACTCACGTGCGTTATTTTTTATGTATAATTGCTTCATCATGATTTTATCGATAAAAGAATATCTGTGTTTCAGTTTGTCTAATAGTCTTGTATTTTTAAATAAAACAATAATGGGCTTATGATTGTTAATAATCATAAATAATATATTTACTAATTATTATTTTTTTGTTGCAGGTATTATAAGAATAAATATAATCGGTAAAGAAAAGGAGATGATTGAGAATGTATCTCTATACTAATGTTATAACGAGGTAGAGTTTATTTATTTATTTATTTACCAAAAGAAACAAACAGCTGTTAATATTAAATATGAATGAGAAACTTAAATAGGTTATTCATTAGCCAAAAACAGTTTCCAACGCTCACGCGCATTCTTTTAAGGTGAGGTTATACGAAATCACCACTATGCAATTTTATCACTATTCAATTTTATTCTAAACTTTTTTTTTGAGTTTCTAACTTTGTTTGCATCATCTTCGGGAATACTTTTTTAATTATTCGCGTAAAGTCGCGGGAAAACAATTACTTATATAATTCTAGACTATGCAACCCTGCTTCATAAGTGGATATTTTATAGAATATTTTTCAATATAGCATTGTGAATTAAAAATTGATCAAATATAATATTTAGAACAAATTTTCATCTTTACCGAAAGTTTAAATATTTGTAAAAATATTTCTATCGGCTGTTTGGGTCGATTGCCTTAACCTGAAAGTAACAAGTGCTTGAAAAATTCGTCGGATTGCGAAAGATCATGAGTTGGAGTCCTAGTCGAGAGATATTAGAGTGTTAGGGACAAAGTGGTTTTACAAAGCATTTGTCATGAAGAATATAGTTCAGTTAATTTACACACATAATAATGAATCAAAACATCCTCATGAATATTGTCTATCGAATGTAGCCTTCAAGTAGTTAAAAGATATTAGTAGTAGTTTATGTAGTTCAATAAAAAATTCTTAACCGTGACATAAATCAAAAAGATTTGTTCAGAAATAAAAACATTTCCCTATAACTTCTGCATACATATGGCAGCATACTTCCTTTCATAATGTCAGTTTGAATAAATAAGCTAACTTATTACTTAAAATACAATGTTTATGAGGTAGTGGGTCTTTATGTTTATCTATTATTCTTCATTTGCAGAAATCTCGCTTGTTGTATTTAAAGGCATACGTTTAACATTTATCTCTTGTGAACTAATGCTGTCTTTATAGTTGTCACTTCCAGCGTCTTCGACGAAAGAATCTATTGATATTTCTTGAGAGATATTATTTTGCGTAAAAAACTTATTCTTGGCCTCCACTTTGTCCTCTTTTTGGTTGAAATGTACGGGCAATGAATTAATTTCTGCAGCCTTATTACTCGTATTAAGAACACTCGTTAGTTTCTTAGATTCCATTGATTTAAATATCTCTTTAACTTCTTTAGGAAATGCTTCAGTAATACTGCCACTAGTTTTATAGTAATATGGTTCTATCAAATCTAAAATATTAGAAGGATATTCTACGTCTGGGAAATAGATTTCAGGTGATTCTTTATTTGAATTTCCGATTAAAGCATGAATTCGGGCTAATTTGGAAGAAGGACTTCTAACTTCTCTATGAACACCTTGACAGTAAGTGATCTGAAATAGTATACATTATAAAAAATATATAAAAATAGTGGTTCGGTAAACCAAAATTATCAAAGACAAGATCACTGGTATGAAACATAGTACATTGTATAAAATGAAATGAGGTCGTATATATTTTAATTATGGACAATTTGTGATTGAAACACTGTCGAATGAGATTAAACTTTCAAATCATTTAAAACTAAACTTACCGTCATAGACAAAAAAGTATATACTATTGTTAAATTCATTTGTATTACTAAATTGGTAGCAAGTGGATATCAATAAGATGTGAAATCTTGTTGACGATATGAAATTATCGATATGTGTGCGAGAATGTGTAAGCTTTTATATATCTATGGTTCTATCATGTCGAATAGTTGTTTACAATTTGCAAAATTCATTTTGATAATTTTTAGTAGAGTTATCTATTATTGCATTATATATATTGTAATAGTTAAAACGTAGTTGATGACACGAAAAAATAATGTGATAAGTGCAATAATAGAAAAGAGAGCCAGAACTACTATCTTTTAAATAGAATATTAATTTTAAAGTTTAAAATAAATATACATTTAAAATGACCTTTATTTTTATGAAGTGATAATTCTATTGTAGGTTTGGTATAATAATATATTTTTGTAAGTGCAGCAGTCTCATAGTCAAAGTTAGTGCAAAAAAAGTGCGCAGTTGATTTTAGAGGAGTTTCCTGGAATATCTTTTATATTGATGACCAGACTCTAACAAAATTTTTATAGGACCACACGGAGTGTCCGTGAATGCAAAAAGTATTTTTCAAATCAGACTATAAATACCGGACATATGCGTTATCATACATAAAAAACGGTCAAATTGAGAACCTCCTCCTTTTTTGAATACGTTTAAAAGTTACTAAGAACTTTTGTGAACAAAAATAGTTGAGAAACATATAACTTAAAACGCTTTAGGCAAAGAGTATCTAAATAAATACTGTGTGCCTTAGGTATACATATAGTTAAAATTTAATTTGATTATTTCAAGGCACATTTGTCAATCACTATACATCTTAAAAAAATTGTATGTTTGTAATTTATAAACATATGGCAAAACAAACCCTTTATTACTTTTTGTCATTTTAATTACAGACGATATTTAATGAAAATTTATGTCTCTCGTCTCTTGAGGTGCCAAGAAATTCTGTTTAACAACAATTATTACCAAATGATTACATCTTCACTTTAGATTTTGTAATCAACTGCTGGATTATCGGTTAGTTTATATTAAATGAAAACTTAACGTACTTGGAATACTTTTATTATTTTAAAACGCCGAAAAGTTATTCTTATAACGCTAGCATCTCCCACATCCGCCATTACAGCCGCCGCCACAACCACACCCACCGTTGTTTTTGTTCAATAATGACAGGAGCAGTATGGGCCATATGATTTCGAGGTCGTTGTTGTCGTTGCATCCGTTGACCAAACCACCAAAACCTCCACCGTACAATCCATTTTGGCACGGGATAATTTGACATTGTATCCAGGCGCACTGCAAGGAGGTTAGTATTTTTATTATACAGTCAGGATGCCGTCCTGGTTAATTTTTAAGGCTCCGTACTCAAAGGGTTAAACAGGACCCTATTACTGGCACTCCGCTATGTGACTGACGAGAATTATTAACTAATTTCAGCTATCTAGCTGTCATGGTTCGTGAACCGTTCGTGAACTGTATTTTATCCAGCACTGGTCCCAGGCCGGTTTTTTATTGACATTTTTTATTGACAGAACTTATTTGAATCAATAGTTGACCTAGAGTCTGACTAATGAAATTTGATAGTGAATTTTGGTATGATAACTCTAAATAATAATAAATCTTTATTAGGTGCAGTAATATATGACGAAAATGATTGAACTCAATTACATATAAAACGAATAAAAAATGTACAATTGCAAGTAAAGCAAATGGTGGTCTTATAATAATGATAATGATGACGGAACATATGGAAATTAGATAAAGTGATTAATTCGGGCTGCGCAGAAAAAAGTTACTGATAGGTACTTAATCTTTTTTTCAAAATTAAATATACTGATGGACATAAAAATAGGCCAGGAGTGGTGAATAGGTGGATTATGATTGACTATTCGTCATTTTTTATGTTTTTTTGTGTATTTGTAAAATAAATTTATGGTTAGTTTACGAATTTCATTTGAACATGAATACACACTCAATACAAAAAATACTTGTATTTTTTAAATATGGCCTAATTTTATTATTCCGCCATTAGTATTTTTTTTTTATAAAATAGAGTTTTGAGGCTATTGTAGTTTGTTTTACCTGGACTAAAACCACCAGAGCGATGAATGCGACAGTTTTCGATGAGGCCATTTCGATTTCTTTTTATTATTTCGAAGAATTTTTTGCTTTTATATTAACGACTGTCTGTAACCCATTTGATATTAGTAATTACACATACTTAGATATGCCACGAATTTTGTAATTCAATATATGTGTCAATGCTCGCACGTTTAAAATACAATTCCAGTAAATTGATAATATTTCAATCTATGCCTATGTAAAATTACACAACTATGTTCTGAATAATTAATTAATTTGAACCCAAATGAAAATTACATTAAATATGAAATAAAATCGTCAATTATCTCTAGGAAGGAAAGTTAAACTAATGAAATGCCCAATTAATAATTTATTGACGATAAAAACAAAATAACCTGTAATCTTAGGAAAGAAGTCTGTTTCAAAAATACATAATGAGATTCAAAACATGGTTGTAGGAGCTTTGCCTTTCCAAAATAGAAAGCTGTAAGTAATTATAGGATTTTGGCGGGATATTAATCGTAAAGTGATTGAAGCTATATTTTGTTTTCATTGTTGTATTTCCATTTATATTTTTCAAATTTAAAAAAAGAATAAGCGAGTTTTCATCCCATTTGTATCCAATCTTTGAACTATTTAAAAATAAGGAGATTACTCGTAGAAGCTTAAAAAAAAAATTGGAGCTCTATTTTGTTTTCATTGCCTTATTTCCATTTTATTTTTTTAAATTTAAATATAAAAAAGGAGTTTTCAATCTATTTATATATAATTTTGCAAAACTAAGGAGGTTTATAATGGTATGATACGAGGTAGAAAGGCGACTAGCTGGATAGCGCCACCCTTTTATATTAGTTTGTCATATTTTTATATTGTTCTTTTACTTTACTCTTTGTTTTTGCGTTTGTTGGATATAATTGTCATTTCGTTGCTTACTGTAATTTGTGATTTATTATTATTATTATTATATTTTATCCTATATCCATTAGTTCTTATTTACAGTCCTCATCCCCATTAGCTATCATTTTATTATTTTCCTTTAATGCAATCCATCTCTAGGAGACTTTAAGTAGGTAATAAATGTCATTTCCCTCGAAGGCCAACGACGCAGCGCTTGACAGTAATTGCAAGCACTATTAGATCCGTAGCGGGAGTGGTTGATGATTTCCAGCACAATTATTACTTGTAGCTGGTGGCTATAAAAGCTATATTTGAATTTGAAAGTTCGAATAAAAACCTCTTTTAACAGAGTCTCTTAAAAGCTTCAGTTTAAAAAATAAAGTATATTTAATCATTATATACAATAATTTACTTAATATAATATTCTGTTATAAAATTAGCCTCTAACTTGTCACCCATCGCAGCACTGTCACGTCATAGAGGTTCAATAAAACAAACACTTACTTTATAAGGTAATAAAGATTTTATTTAAAGCTCTATTATGTGACAGCGGCCAGTTGACGATCTCCGTAGCCAAATTTTAAGGCGTCACCATTGGTCCTGGATTCGATTCCCGTTTGGGTCAATGTAGAAAAAGGACTTTACTATATCGCTTCGCGTCTGGGTGTTGTGGTACCTTTTTGTCTCATATACTCTATTTATGGGAGCTTAAACTACTGACCTTGGAATCAGAGCTATGTATGTGATGTTGTTTTATATTTATTTGTGCCTTCGTTAGTATGTCGGCGCGTTATTTGGGTCTTTTCCTTGCGTACTCGACCCTGATAAGGAGGGCTAGTTAAAAAACTGGGGCCATACACACTAAAAACTAACAAAGTCGCTCTCCACGAAGGTGATGCACGGGCCAGCCCAAAGACCACTTCCCACGCCGTTCACCTCTATTTCGGTCCACCCCTTGCGGGGCGGGTTAGTGGTACGATTCAGGAAACCAACCAGGCTATCCCCATCGAAGGATCGAAGATGCGCTACTGAGCAATCTCTAGTATTTACCCATCCGGCAAGGAGGCTCCTCGTGGATCTTCCCCCACGTATGTAGTCCGAAGCACTCGTCGGTATCCAGCTCAGTGCCATCCCTCCACAGCCTCAGAGAGCAGGCATCGACATGTGCAACTCCTCTCATCGCTCCGCGGCTGCGGCGCTAACGAGGTTCCGGTGCCGTACATGCCAATGGTGTGTATGTATCTGTTATAGAGAGTGTATATGTGCCTGCATGTATGTATATCTGTGACAGTATTTGTGTATGCGTATGAGCATGCGTGAGTGTATGTGTGTGTGTAGTCCGGGACCCCGACAGAATATGAATGTATGTCATGTTCTCTTCAAGTAACTGCGTAGGTGTCTTTAAATAAAAAAGAGAGAAAAAGGCCACCCTTGCTGAGTTTCTTGCTGGTGTCTTCTTGGCACAAGGCCTTCCCCCGTAGATTTGCAACCCACGGCATACTTTCCACTTTCACATGTGCCTGTGTTCGGAAAGACAGCCTTTAAAAATGAAGTTTACTCAATTTGGATACAAAAAAATAACTAAAATTATTCAATTCACTGAAATACTATATTCGTTTAGTGTACGGGTATTTACAGATTTGCTTTGGGCTTACAGTAGGGTTATTATTTCAGTGTTATGAATACAAATTGGAAAATAATAATTCCTCTACTAAAATTATTATTTTGTCTATATAAGGTGTTCAAGAAGTAAAAGTTGGTGATGCAAATCGATTCCAAAATCGAAAAAAGGAGGTTCTATGTTCGACGGGTAATATTTTATCTGTTTTTACAGATTTCTGTGTGATTTGCGGACTGATTTTCAAAATTTATAATAAGGATTTCAAAATAAGGAGGTCTCATAAAATCAGTGTAGTAGTTTTGTTTAACTAACAAAATAAACGGAAGCATATTGCCAAATAACATGAATATTAAGATGACGAAAGACTGCTTATTTGCTTCTCAATGATTTTGTAATATAACATCCCTATTGTTGTGTTTTTTTATTTCAACCGCTCCACGAACAATCCTTGGATAGTAATGTCGTTCAGTGGAAAGGACATGAGGTGTATGTAACTCGATCCAGTAGTAAAAATAATGCACGAATAAGACTCGGTTACATTAATGTATACAAATCGTGTGAGTTTAAAAACATTATCCCTATACATTCTCGTATAGGGATATCACTATTTACTATAAAATTGAAGGAGTTTCCAATTTTGAATTTTGTTAAAGCAATATTATAATACAGCAATAGAAAGGTGAACCGTCAATGTTTAGATTTAACAGTATATTGCCACGTTGTAATATCGCAAATCATTGTGAATTCACATCTGAACAAATAATTCTGTTAGGTTAATGAATCATCGAATACGTCCAAATTTTCAGAAATTGTTTAACGAATTAGACAGTTATTGTTCTTATTCTTTATATGTAAAAAACTCTGTATATTGATGAAAAATCCGTTGTGTAATTGTAAAAATGTCAGTGTACCAGTAGCGGGCAGTGATTTTGTTTTATACTGTGTATAGATAACTAAGGAGCTTGATGATGCAGTGATTATCGCGCTCGATCTATGATACGATTGTCAAGCAACTTTTGCAAAGGCTAGTCATAAGATGGGTGACCAAAAATTTAAAGTTTCGAACGCGTCGTAACACGGAAGACCGTGCACGTTAAGTTGTTACTTTCAGCTCCATCCGTTGTTGTTAACACCCACCAATTCGCACTGTGCCTGCGGTGATGATGATAGTAGATAACCGTCTTTTCGTTACTTAAAACCTACCTACACCCTATTTTTTATTAAGACTAAATATAAGAAAAAGTTTCAGTGTTTATCAATAATATACAACTTGTTTAAGCATGAGCCGATTTTATATCGATATTAACTCCATGTTCCGGTTTTCAAACATTGAACAGATCAATCAGGATTACTGTAACTAATTGTAAACTAAAAACTGGAATACGATGTTTGTATACATAGTCAGGTGTTACGCGGATGGGGCGCAGCAGATCTATCGCGTAATATCAAGAGTATAAAATAAAAACCGAAACAACTGTGAAATATATTTTTTTTTATTATTATTCTTATATAACATATATTTAAATCACAACACAACAATAAACAATTAACACTTTTAAAAAATCAAAAATTAAAATACAGAAAACAACAATTGTGTAACTAGATCGTATTCTAGAACTAGTATTCGTTTACCATTGCATTGTCATTGCAAGGGTAATTTGTCGTTATAGTGACGATGATTTCATTGGCACTTTTTCCTGGACTGGCCTTGATTAATGGATATGGATTCGAATAAGACGGGTTAGGCAACACCGGCTCCTCTATGTAACCATCACCGTTCACGATGATTTCAATTGGCGCATTTAGGTTCTCGATATCTCGAGAATAGTATCCGTTGTCGCAGTAAACATTTTCGTAGTTTCCGTAAGGGTAATTTCCGTAAGGGTTTTCGTAGTTGTTATATCTACCTCTGTAGCAGCCGCCGCAACTGCTACCTCCGCAACCACCATTGCCACAACCACCGCAGCAGCTGCTGCCTTTACCATTATTCTTGAGGAGACTTAATAGAATTATAAGATTTAAGATATTGTTGTTGCTACCACCGGAAGCGTTGTCGTAAACTACCTGTACTGGATATGGTGAGGTTAGTGGTTGTTGTAAAGGAGGTATGTTGTAACTAGGTACTTTTGGTATTGGTGTCACTAAATTGCTGGTGTCGTAGGTGATCACGGGCTTTATCACCGCCGGTATGGTGAATCTGTTTTGTAATGTTGGCTGGTTAACCGTTTCTGATACGGCTACTGAACTGGCAGCAAAAGAAGATTGACATCTAAAACACTGAAACAAAAGTTCTAAGTTATCATATTAGTTTTGAGTCACCAATGGCTTAAAGTTCAAAGATAGACCATCTTAAATTGTTACTAGGATTAAATATTAGACAAATTCGACCTTTTACGCTGATGTCGAAATTCGGACGATTAGTATTTCGAGTGATATATCATCATCATCAGCCCTGTTACGTCGTCACTGGAGGGGTTTAGGCCTTAATTGAAGATGGTTAAAGAGGTTGGGCCATGATCCTCCATGCTGGCTTAATGCAGATTAGAGGATAATAACTGCAAATGCAGCCTAAATACGGAGTAGTTCGAGATAATAATTTTCTGGTCACCCATCCCGTGACAGACCCTCGCGAAAGTTGCTTAATAAAAACGACCGCGGGCTGCGGCGCTCATCCACTACGCCACCGAGCTACTCGAGTAAGTTCGAGTAGTGTATCACTGATCTTGAAGTCAGTTTCTTTTCCCGCTTTAAGTCAAAAAGATTACAGTGCGATTTTATGTGATATTATTTGATTGATTAGATAAAAATATACCTTAAATAGGAGCAGTAAGCTCGATAAAAACGTGAACGCCCGTATGTCCATATTGTTATGTACTTTGTGTATGATTTCAAATGATCTTTATATACATGTAATTTCAAAAGCAAATCGGTCAGTAGGTTTATGTTGAAACTGTGCTTTAGTGCATTAAGGCACGTATGTTTTGCAAAATTATATTAATATGTAACCCTTTCGCCTTGAATCAGCCATAGATAAATAATCTATGTGTCACTTGAATTTGTAACGTGCAATCTTTGATGGTGGGTTGTTTAATTTTATAAGTCAATTGATCGTATAATAGTAGTGTGACGAGTTAAATTCACTTAACTCATGATGAAACGTAACTCAACGCATGTTCCGATAAAACTATTTTCATCATAAGCGGGTTACAGTTATTTATAAATGAATTTTTCTTTTGCATTTATGGTGGGCAATTCTCCATTCATTTTCCATTAGAAAAAGTATTAAAGCATTTGCATATTACTTAGCGTTGTTTATTATTTTAAAGTGTTTTTCCTTCATTTTCATAAGTTGAAGTTTTCTTTATTCTAATTGATGCATTTGGCAATACAAATCTTTTGGATAGTTCATATTTTTTCTTGTCATAGTCCAAGACTTATTTAAGAGTAGGCGCAAGAAACTCCACAGCATTTAATTAACAGTAGATATAGCCTGGATGAACGTTTTCAACGTGCCTTTCGAAGCACGGAGGAGCTTGAGACAATAAATTTCTACTACTAGTCTACTGGACCTGCTGTTTACGTAATAGTTGCATCTTAATATAATCTCAATTGCTTCCATTTTGCCATTGTACTATCCATCTAAAGTCCAATATATCTGTCACCATTGATGTGTGAAGAAGTCATTGCATTAATAATATAATATCGATTACGTAAAAATTAGCAATGTTATTAATAATTAAGCTTTAGCGTCACAGTGAATTTACGGTAAAATTGCAATTTTAGTATTTTGCCAAGTGTCTGTTTAATAATATGAATTTTGACTAATAATAAGTGCGGTCTCAGCGTAAAACTTTAAACCTTTACGCTAAACCTTGTTTATTAATAAAAGTGTAGCTGAGTTAACCTGCAGATGGTAGTTAACACCCATCGCTTAAATACAGCGATAAATATTATTATTTTTATTATAATATATAAACTTCATTGTCGACATCAATCATGACTGTTAATATATTATTTAAATTAATTGGGTCATTACTTATTAAAAGTTTGGTATTATGAAATTTAAAGAAATTACGGTGATATTTTATAGGCTATTCAGGGGTCGGCAACATAATGACACGGGAGAGCTAAAAGCTACATTATTACAACTTCACAGTTTTTAATGAAACTGAAAGAATTCTTCAAAATATTTATTTAAATATCTATTCGAGATTTTATTTTAAATAAACAATTTAAAACATTTAACTCTCATTCATAGACCGAAACCGCAATCGTATAATAGTATGGGTAATCAACTATTGATCGATTACGATTTAAAGAGTTTCTATAGAAAAATATTTTTTTTGTAAATGGAACTTGAGAGGTGCGAGTTTACATCGAAAGAGCCGCAGGTTGTCGACCCCTGTGTTATTTGGATGTCTATTATTGTGAGGGATATTTCCTCCTAATTTGTTCTTTTTTGGATGGCTCCAGGGATCTGGGTCGGATTTTATTCCCTTTTCGGTGTTAAAATTATGCGAGTATTATTTTGATTGGTGGGTATCACACTATGATCATGAGTCATTAAAAGGAGAGCCATGGTAATGTGCGAATTTTATTTCCAATATATTTTTAAATGTAGATAATTTATATACCTACTGACGTCTTATATTTTTACGCGCACTATTAACTAAATAATACTTAGTCTTAATTGCACCGTAACCTCTAAGGGGTCGGAATCATCAAGGAAAACAAATACAAACGCGCTACACCCGTTCAAAATAGTTTTATTTATAGATAATTATTTTTGAGGTGAAACCAATGTGTAATATGAAACACATCATTGTATTCGCTTTATCCGTCAAGTTAAAAGACTGAAATCTGGCAGGAGGCCAATAATAATGAAGATCGAAATATTGTCCCTGCTGTGGACTGAAGGCAATATCAATGGTTTATGTGATTGATGATGTCTTTAATAATAAATTATTTAGTAGACGCCAAATTAGTGATTTTTATATACGCATGGCAGTACGTCACCGCTACCGTAAGAAGATCTCTGTTAGTTAGGTAGTTCTATACTAATTGCGCGATACAAAGTCCATAATGTATAGTCTGCCGTGCAGTTGTGTGTAGGTACCTTCAGGAAAGGTAATCTCTGAATCTATAGTTTTTATTTGAAGAACCTTTAACTTTTATCTTATCATGTAAATTGTAAGTGGACTATTAAACGAGTTCAGATTCAAGAAGGAAGGTACTGTGTTCGATGCATTTGGTACATATTAATTTATATCAATTTATCTTTTTATATAAATATATATCAATTTTCAAAAATGAAATAAAGCTTTTCTTTTGTTCTTTGGTGAACCCACTCTTTTCGAAATTGGATCATCACTTTTGTTTTTTATCAAAATAAGTTTCTACTTATTTTGATATTCAATTACTCAGACATCATATTTGTTTTCGATAAAAACAAAAACGAGTGTGTTTTCTATATTTGTAAATAGAACAGGAATATACAAGTAATAATAGGTATATGGCCGGTTCTATTATACTAGTCCCATAACTAAACTATAAAGAGCAAAATTTGAGTTTCTTTTAAAGTTATTTCATAGTCAGGTGTAATAAACTAAACATAATTATACTCCTGTATCAATGTCCTGTATACTAAACATACAATAAATTTACATCTGTTATCTTAGTTATATTCAGGTTATCATAAATGAAAACTGATTGACAGGACTAAATCTAAATTTAGTAGACTAAAATGTTATTTGATATTGAAATCAGGCGACCCTGATATTATATTTTGGTCAGTTAAATTTAGTTTTATTACCTAATGAAAAACAAAATAAGGATGTATAAGGATAAGAATTTATTGTAAACCTTTATTATGTATTAATAACGTTACGTGGATTCATCTAAAGACATACGGGGCTGTTAGCTGAATAAGGAATTGGGTAAGGTGGGTTATATCCGCCGCAGTAATCGCATCCGTTGCCGCCGTATCCGCAACCGCCTCCGCAACCGCCGCCGCAACCGCCGCCGCAACCGCCGCCGCAACCACCGCCGCAACCGCCGCCGCAACCGCCGCCCAGGCCATTCCCGCCAAAACCGTCACTGAGCAGGAGCAGTAGAAGAATAGGCATAATCGAATTCAAGCCGTTCCCGTTGCAGTTGTTAGGCACTATGATAGGGCATGGTGGTGGAACAGCAGATCCTGGGTACATAGGAAGTTGGGCTCGGACAAGAACAAGCTGTGAATTAAAAAAATATATATATAAGTTTCCATTTTTTTATTAATGTTGGAACAATGAATTCGGTTGTAAAACTTTAGTATCAGTAAACTATGAGCATTAAAATGTCATAAAGCTTTAAAATATTTTTTTTTTCTTTACGAAACACAAAACAATGTGTCTATATTAATAGGATTATGAAGACACGCAGAAGTGTATTTTTGTTTGTTGTGAAAAAACTCAAAAGTCACTAATTCAAGTTCAATTTATTTATTTTCCAGTAGAATGTTATATTATCATTAAATATCTTAAACTACATTTTTTGGCCAAGGTTGTGGTAAAAGACAAATATAAAAAAGGGTGCTTTTTATAAACAAATTCAAATAATAATTATATACTTATTTTCTTTAATTTTGATGAAAATTAGTACCGTCTTACAATTGAAAAGTTAATTAAATAAGAAAAGACGGATTTGTAGAAAAGTAAAACGTAAAATGCCTTAGTTAAAAGATAATTTTTCAATTTATCTAAGTTGCAAGTAAGAATTGGAAAGAAGGTCCAATTTTTTGGGTTCATTTGGGATGGGCAAAAGATTTTAGGCGCATACAGCCTTGTCTGACTTTTTTAATAATATTCTTCACCCATTCAAGGTAGGCAAAGGACTTCCATCCATACAGTCCAAATGAAATTAATCAAATGACACTCGACATATCCTTGAGCTAAATAGCATCATCTACTTTAATTTTTCAAATAAGCTGTAAATCCCATAGATCATGTAGGTATATGAAATAGCTGAATAAATATTTATTAAATTACATTTTGAGTTAACTACAACTTACGTTTCCGAAAACTAAACAAATAATCCACCATGGCGAATCCATTTTTTCTACACGATCACTGTTTAATTAAATTCTTAATTATACTTAACGTGCAATGTCGCAAAGAATAATGAACGTTAAAAATAAACAACTTGAACTTTTATATGACTGTCATACTGTTTATCAACAATTGCAATGCAATGCGTCTTTAGTAAAATTAAAAAAAAAATACAAACGTTACTATCGATACGGGTTCGATACAAATATTTTCGAAACATATTTTTAACATTCTTAGGTAATATTCATATGTTAGTATGTAATTATATAGCAATAAAAATGCAGAAATATTGTTTTATTTACTTTTGTCATAGTTCTTTATCTATAATTAATGTTAATAAGCTTCAATGAAAGTGGAGAAGCCGAAATATGTATGCAAAGATCATGCCTTGTGGAACTCGGTCCTCTGCTTACCCCGCAAGGGATACTGCGTGAAGATATAGATAGATAGGCAATTAAATCAACTATACTATGAATTATGGGATGCCGCGATCTTCTTCTTACAAATCAAATAACGTTACGGTATTGTTTACAACAACACTAGCAGACCAAAATAGGTTTTATTACTCACTAGCCGAACTAAAAGTGAAAACGATAAACCTATCTTTAATTTCATGTTGGAGTGCAGACAAATTACCTTTAAATAAAGCTAGCATAATTCCTTCATGGTGACAAAGATTTCCGACTTTTGGGAACAACATATTTACTCATGTTAAAAACATATAATATGTAATCATAAAAAGGTTAATTGTCTTTCCAATAATCATAACAATACATAATAACAGTGGTTAGTGTGTATAGTTTACAATGAATGGCTAGTTGTAGGTAGGGTGACCAAAAAAATATCAATTCATGCACCTCCGTGTCCGTAGATATAGCTCGTTCTCCCTATTTCATTTCATCCGTAGGTAGGGACTGTGCCCTTACCATGGTGACACTAATAGACTAATAAATCTAGTAAAAATAGCAAATTAGTCATATAATTAAGATTTAAAATATCAACTATGAGGATAAATTAATTTTAATTTTTATGATTTAGAATGTAAATCCCTATTCCATTTAATTCCATACATAGGCCTGAATCCCATAGTGGAGACATTAATAGACTGATAACGAAGTGATAATATGTAATTAAATTTCGATAAAAAGAAACTAAAAGAAAACAAGACAATAATCACTCATGTGTTTGGTCCTAGTGAATGCAAATGATAAACGCACATACATATTGTCACGTTTTTATATGTGACACAAGGTACAAATAACACGCTTCGCGAATGATTGTTGTTAGGTATATGTTATCAAAATAAAACGGGTTACTTTTTCCTAATTCTGTAACTCTGGCAACTTCTGAGGACAAAGCTTTGTGGGCAAGCCGACATCGTGCATTTGCGGTTTCTGTTTTTTCGGTTTCTCATTTGTAATCTGTAATCCCTAGCCAGTTGCTATATTGTTTTTAAATTAGATTTAATTGCTAATTGAAGTTTATTTTTATGGCCACTGATTCGTACGGAATACGAAATAAGAGTTTATCGATACAAGATCAAGTGTCAAAATAGAGTTCAGTGGAGATCGCCGATATTGACATTTCAAAATTGCGAGCCGTTGATAGAAAATACGAATTAGTGATTTTAACATATGGGATTGCTCATTTACGATTTTGACATATGGGATTTTTCGGTGAACACGGCTTTAGATTGTCAACTGAGTTAGCGAATACGCCTGCTAAAGAAAATCTTATTATATATCTTACTGCGGCCAATAGGTAATTCTGCTAATGTAAAGGTTGTTAGGCAAGTCAATAGCGCTTCAACGGCTTATGATACAGTCCTTGTTACTAAATCACAAAATAATAATATATATCTGTCACCATTGATTTGTGAAGAAGACATGGCACTTAAAATATTGGAGTTTAGATAGATAGTGCAATGGGAAAATGCAAGTAGTTGAGTTTCATTAGAAATATAGAAATGCAATTCATCATCATCAGCCCTTTTTTACGTCTCCAGTGCAGGGACACAGGCCTAACTTATGGATAGTTAATGAGGATGGGCTATTACCCTCGTTGCTGGCCTAATGCGGATTGAAGGGTATTAACGAGATGAAATTATTAGGCAAAATAAGCAGAATTGACACCAAGGTGGACTCTGGCCATATCTTAAGTAATAGGATACAATATCTTGACAATGTTGTGGTGATATTATGGCCACAGTCTGTTTCATTTTCGTACTTTAGCATGTGTCATGGTGGATAAATTTGGAATAAACTACTGAGTAATGATATAAATATTCTTTATTGCAAATAGTACATTAGTTTTCAAAATGATACGAATACTACTTTTGGTTTTCAGTAATAAGGCAATAGCAATTTTTTATTCTCTTTTAATATATGCGTGGAGGGTCATGGCCCATCCTCCTTAACCATCTATAAGGAAGGCCTGAGCCCCTGCAGTGGGGACATAAAAGGGCTGATGATGATGATGATAATGAATATATGCGTGTGTTCTAAACTCAGATGAAAAGTTCTAAATGTGTACCTACTCTGTTAGTAAGAGAAAGCAGACCTCTTTATCGAGGATTCTTTTTTTATTTCATTAGTAGTTTTTCCATAATTCAAAATTATAAAGACTGTACACGGTAAAACGATACACTTATATATGCGTATGCGTTAATTACAACACTGAAGTTTCAAAAGGGGGCCAGAGACCAAGACAGAGTAATTTGCCCTACCTCTATAATTGAGACGATTAGTTTGGAATTTATTATATAAGTCCCGTCCCATGTGTCGAGCAAATGTATGAAAAATAATACCTACCCGCCTGTGACTATATGTAACTAACAGTTAGGATGGGTAACCAAAATTAAGAATCTCGAGTTCTTCCGTGATTCGAAAGCCAGGGCACGTCGTTGGACCGATTGCAGCGGTAGTCGTCAACACCAACCAATCCACAATGGGCCCGCGTGATCAGTAACAATTTGATCTCCTTTTGTGATCCCATCTACAAGAAAGGACCGTATCTTAATAACCTGACGATGTGTGTGTGAATTTTATTTATGTCGCAGGATGATAATTAAATCAGAGATCTTACTAAATTGCTAATGTATATGATAACCTCAAAGTATCATAGGAACTTGAGATATTAAATATTTAATTACACATCCGAAAGATTTGCGGCCGCAAATAGTTCAAAATAAATATTAACGAAAAATTGTATAGTTTTCGATAACATGCAATAATACATTATTCCTTCATTATATAGGAAGAGTTTTACTTCTATATAAATAGCGTCATGAAAATTATTACATTAATCGAACCTAGTAGTACATTACAAAAGTACAGCTCCGTTTCTTTGAGAATAAATGTTTAATCAAAAAAAATAGTAAATTTTTTAATCAGACTTTGAGATTTTTGTACGTTTTGAATTCCTTTATTAAAAACTTGTTACTTTTGTTTCGTTCATACAATCTTCTATAGAACAAAACAAAATAAAATAAAAATGTTTTCTAATATCATATTTAATAAAATTTTCATCACAATTATTGACTTATCCCTGGACTTATCCTAACTTTTTATTAACATAAAAATGTTTTTTTTTGTGCATTTTTATGTTATATATTAATAATCACTATATCACTTGAAATGCAAAATTTATGAAATATTTAAAACGATGTTTTATAAATATGTTTTATTAGTCAACTTAACTATTTTTAGCAAATCCAGTAATTTCAATAAATCTCTAGATTTATCATATCCCTGTGACATTTATACCAAAAATACGTTATTTAATGTAGAATGTAACTATCTGTCTGGTTCTCACGGCCAAATCGCTGATTTAAGTATAATGAAAACCCCTCTGAATCCAAAATTAACCGAGAAAAAGTCACTGATTAAAAGTTTTCTAATTTAATCTTTCAGTTGCGCTCAGTCTACAATATGCAACTTTCACAAGTGTCGATCACGGGATGGGTGACCAAACAATTATTATCTCAAGTTATTCCGTGCCTCGGAAGGCAAGTTAAGTCGTTGGTCCCACTAATCAGCACTGGGCGCGGGTGCGTCATGGCCCATTTTACTTATTCTATTTGATTTGACTTTATCAATAGGGAAGGCCTGAGCCCCAGCAGTGGGGAATAGACTGGTGATTATGATGATGAAATCTTTGACCAAAATAATGAAACAATATACACTTTTCAATATATTTATTTATTCACAATGTTATGTATTCTTGAATGTTTTAAGAATTAAAAAAAAATTAAGAGTCAAATTTTGGTAGAAAAGATTAGATTTTGGTAGAGAAGAAGAAAAAAAAATTGGTAGAATTTTGCTCAAATTATACATACAAAATAAAAATAAACTCATTAAATTATAATTAAACATTATCCAAATAACAACAATAAAATTAACAACACTCGATAATAACAGTATGAAATTCATATTAAATTACAATCAAAGTGAATATCAACAATACGTTATTTTGTCTATTTTATTAACTTTTTATATTATATTAAAAAATATCAATGAAATAAATAACAAAAATGTACATTCAAATTTCGTTAAATAATACAATGGCATAATTACAGATTGTTTTTTGTAGAGCAAATACAAATTTTATTTATATATACAATAAAAATAGATATATATAATAAGTATATTTTTTATTTAAAAACTGTGTTAAGGTACTCTCTTGAAAATAAAAACGTATGGAATTACATCATTGTTTTGTTGGTTGTATATGACATAACAAAATGCCAAGTTCACCGATCCATTTTAAGTTCAGATTTGATTTTAGAAATTTGCTTTTTTTTAGTTACTTGATAATCTGTACATATAAAATTGAATGTAGTATAATCATGATAGATCGGAATGCTATATAAAAAAATAGATATAATAAAATATTAATAATCTCAAGCTAATCCGAGAATTAGCAGTAACGGCAGAAGGCTTCCAATTCCATTGTTATTGTTGCAATTATTGTTGCAACCACAGGGCGATGACATATACGGTCCAGGGTAGCCGAAGTTGTTATTATATCCAATGGGGTTGGCGTTGGACAACTAAACAAAAAATAAATGCTATGTTATATATTTATTAAAAATGTTTTGACTGATAATTCGATTGGTATATCATCGGTGCTTTATTTTTTATCTAAAGATGAGCTATATTACATCCCTTTGGAGCTTTGTTGGTTTTACTATGATAATCTGTTAAAAAACAGCCCAGAACTCAAGCGCTGTGACAACATAGATTTCATTGAAGTAAAACCTTGTCCTTTTGAAGCAAGTTTGATTAGGTTGAAACTCACATTAGTGTCTGTGAGAAATCAAGAGAAAGGATAACTTGAGGAAATGTCTTTAACCAATATTTTTAACCAATTGACTAGATTGAATGAAGTAAGAACTGTTAACATCTAAAAATTATAATATTTGTACTATTAGCAGACCTTACTTAAATAAAATTCTTGATATTTGGTAAGATATCTGCTCGACTATAGATGCAAAAAATTTTAGAACAAAACATAAATATTATTTTACTTACACCAAAGATTGCTACAATAGCGAAGAAAATGATTAACTTATTGGACACCATCGTTACAGTTGCTTTCTTACTAATGTTCGTAAATAACTACAGCCATATTTTATATTTATACTTTATCTACATTTCGTCCTATACAAAGAATTCGCTCAACTTATTTTCCGCACGTTTTTATTTCGATAGACACAGGTGTTTTGATATCTATCATAGTTCGTTCATGCACGTGGCTGGTAATTTTCAACAAATTGACTAAACAAAATTGAAATTTGTTATCAAAAAGGTTTCAGGTTTTATGGATCAATTAAAACTTCATAGCAAGAATTATCAGCCTTATATTTTAAGAAATTATATTACAATGTTTAATAACTAACTATATATAAAATCACTGATTGTTTGGAATTTTCTAGTCATAGTCGTCATCGTTTTCGTAATCTTCGTATGAGTCTTCATATTTGACCTTTTTGTGCTTACCATATTTACTTCTGCTCTTTTTATTGTCTATTTCATTGCGGTTCTCTGATTCTGCTGAATAATATTTACCGTATCTATTCGGTGGTCTGGGTATGTGTCCGTGGTTTTTTTGTTTTTCATAGCCATTACTACCATGATGTAGATTATTATTATTGCAACCACAATTTTGACAGCAATCACAATTGTTATTCAACCTCTCCTTCAAAATTTGTAGAATCAAAGGTAGCAATGCTTTATAACTTGATGGTTTGGATCCTGAGTTTGGTATATTCGAGACCATTTGGGTGATAGCAGGAAGAAGAGCTGCATAAGTATAAGGTGAGTACCCTAAGCTATTACCATCCAAAGTCGGTTGTTGATTTGTTGAAACTGAATTAACTATTTGTGGTTGATTCGCCAATTCAGCGTAACTTAGATCAAAGCCTTGTAGGTTTTGTGGTGAGGAGTACAACACAACCGGTGGGTTGTTGTCTGTTGTAGGAGAAAATTGGGATGTTTGTACACAAGCCGATTGAGATCCTTCCACTATATACGATGGTATTCCAAAAGTTGCTACTTGTTGATTTTGTGGATAGGTTAAAGACATTTCACCGTGAGTATTAACGTTGCCGGCATTCAATGTTGATGGAAAATTAACAGGTTGCATCGAAGAAGGAATTGTTATAGTTTGATACGTTTGTGGAGTCATAACTGGTTGTTGTGTTACTATTGTCTGAGGCGTAATATTGGGGATTTGTTGTTGTAGTATTTGCACATTACCCATGGCGAGATTTTGTTGATCAACATTATTCGCGTTGTTAATGCCGTTGCAATTTTGTAAAACTGGAGCTGCCGATACAGGTCCTTGCACCATTAACTGTTGGTAACCGTTTGTTGGTGTTTTAGTAGAAGATTGTTGGAATACAGGTTGGAGGCTTGGAGATGGCGTGCTTTCTATAAAAATAGTAGACGGCGATTTCGCAAATACATTCTGTTGTGTATTTTGTTGTTGTTGACCATTTGTAGCTTGTCTTGAGTTGAGAATCTGTTGTAAATTTATAGGGAGGCCCTGATTTGATGCTATTTGATTCAAACTCTTTTGTAATAACCCTTGAGATTGACCTCCATTTAAATTATTCAATATGATATTAGATACGCTGTTTGAATTATTCTGTAAACACCTGATTTCCTGTGGAATAAAATAATTTAGCAATTAAAACAACATTTTCATTATTGTCTTTCTTTTTGGTAACTTAAATAGCAATATCAGGCATATCACTTATAAGAGTCAAATAGTTCAACTCCATAATTATATAGAAAGCTTTATAGAAAGTTAATTAGAATACCTGAAATTGATATAAACAATTCTAATATTGCACATGTAAAAATAGCCCTGTTTCTATCTGTTAAGATATAACATCTAAACCACTGAATGATTGTAATGAAATTTGTTACAGAGATAGATTTGACTTTGGAAAAGGTCATAATATTTATATTATCGCCATCAATTAAAAACGTGTTGAAATAGTAGAAATGGGGAATGAAAAACTTTCGTGGGCAAAAGCTATTAGTTTATAATTTAAAATACACTCTTACCTTTATATACAAAACTGATATGACTAATATAAGATATCTGGTTAACATCTTGACGAAAACATGTAATGTGATAAAAATGAATTTAAATACAATTATATGTATGTTGCATTTATCATTGTGAAATTATAATTATGCAGTTTATCTCTAAGAGATAATTAGAGTTATCATATGTTACTTCATCCCATTCTTTTTATCGTGATCAGATAAGGTTAAAATTCCACTGCTTCTTTGATTGACGCACATACAAGAATGGCGTAACAGCATTTTTTTTTTCCCAGAAATTTCATTATATTTTAATAATGTTTTCAAGCTTAAATAAATTAAATATATATTCTTATCATATTAAACAATAACATAGTTAATATTATGATGACTTAAGCTTTGTGCGCACTGGTGACTTTTGGTTTTATGTCACAGTGCTTGATGATGCTTTTAGTAGTTCGCGCGGTTGAACTAGTGATGATCTGAGAATGTTGCCACTGTAAGCAAATTTCCACTCCAATCAATCGCAGCACGCATAGTGGCGATAAAAGGGATTGTTACTCGAACTTTAACGTTATTTTTACTAGACTTTAATTTTAAATAAAATAAATAAACATGCGTCATGAAACTTACTGCGTGTTAATGGCAAAAACAGTAATCGATGTCGAGAGGATAATCTCCATCAAATATTAAATTAAATTCCTCGGTATTTGTTATGTCGTATTGATGATATTTTGTATATTTGCTGAGTATAATTAAATTTGCAGTCTTCAATATTTTCCAATAATAAGCCCGTGTATGTTTATTGGGACTGTTTTCTAGATTTTTATATGTTTCCAAGAATAAACTTGAAATAAAAATAATCAATGATGTTGTTTACTTTTATCTAAAATTATAATAATAATATAAATAGTATTAAAGTATTTTATTCTATATAATTGAACAATAAACATGTAACCACGTCTGATAAATTATAAATGTTTAACATATTACCAAATCATCCTTCAGCTGTTTCGCTTAGATTCATTATTTATTTTTATTCCTGTTTGTTGGTGGAAAGCTGAGTCGCGTGTTATTGCCCAAAATAGTCATATTTAATTGAAAATACACAAAAACGTCGGCATAATTAACGACACTACATTTACAAATAATTGTCTTCGATATATATATAAAATACGTTATTAGATTTTTTTTAATTTCTTTGCTTATTCCCTTGAAGTCAGCAATGAGAAAGTCCATGTGTACTATCTGAAATTTAGTGATTGTGGCATTGTGGATTAGTAAATTTAAAATTACGAAAGGTGAATAATAAAAAAAAGTGATGTTGAATAACAAAGACAAAAAGTTTGTAAGCTGGGACACCTAGGACGTAATAAACGCTGGTACGGCACACCCTTACAAAACTTACAATAGAAAGACCAAGCAAATCTGTTATAAAGCTCATAACTGGAAACATATTACGAATATTTTGATTGGATTTGATTTAGAATGCTACTAAATCCACTGATAGAGTTGACTCCAGTAATGACATTGAATCGTATAGGTAATAACTTTTATATTCACTATTGGAAAATTCATTGGGAATTTTGTTATTATAATATTTTAATGCTTACTTTTGTTCCTAGTACGTAGATAATTATGAGATAATTTAAATTAAAATAAAATATTTAAAGAATATATAAAATTTACCCAATACTCTCTCTCAATCTCAAATCTCAATAGTCGATTCTCACTTTGGGAACGCTGCCGGTAATGTTTCCAGCGAAATTTTCAGTACTTGGCAATATTCCTGGGCATAGTACATCACTAATTGGAATATGTGATAATTAGACGACTTTCTAACGGGGATAGAAACAAGACGTGGCGACGATAAATAATCACGAGTATGCGTATAGCTTAAGGATGTTACCACACTAATCGGTGGATTGCCGTCCGTTTAATTTTATAAATTTTGCTAAGTATTTCTGCTTTCAGTCTTTTCCACGGCTAACAGAAGTCCTGCATGGTATAACAGGAAATATAGATGGGACTAGTCAAAAGAATTATGTTGTTTTCTCTTCATATTAAATTGGTAATGTATACCAATTTAATATGAAGAGAAAATCTTTGAGTATATAATTTGATAACATTATTATCTTTACATTTTTTTTATACTTTCGTAAATTAATGTCACTGTAATTATAATTTGTTATTTATAATTTTCAGCTATAATTTACGCGGAAAAAGTAGCTGGAATACAACTAGTTTGTCTAATAAAGTGGTTCGACATTTTTAAATCATGTTTATCTGTTTCATTGTTCACTTTGTCTACAACACTTTCGCATACGTATTTTATCGGTAACGTTGTTATTTAAAACAGCATAAATACATGAAGCAAATTACGATTGTTTTCGAATATCGTTGCACACATCATAATTTTACAGACTAAGCCTGAATGTATTGTCTTCCGTTTTATAATCTTCGTGTGACGCCGTGTCTGTTTTATGATTTTTCCACCAATGAGGTAACGTAAGTATTCTTTCCGGTTCTAGATTTACAGTTAAGTAGGGGTTTGAACACGAGAGACTGCTCTGTCTCTATTTCAGTATGCTGGGTAATTTGATGCTTGTCAAAAATGTTTTTCTTATTAAAGGCGAATGTCCATTGCATCCGTTGCATGTCGAGCAGCCCGCACCGGCTGCACGGCATGCAAAGGATTATATTATAATCCTATGATTTCATCAGCATAATTCCGATGTCAAAACTGCAATGGACGCATGACATCGACAAAACGTGCCATGCGTTGCGTGTTGTGCGGCCGGTGCGTGCATGCTGAGGCAGTGGACAAGTACCCTTATATGAGTTTTTTTTTCACTTTAACCACAGTTTGTTTGTGCAAAACTAATTTACTATTTTAAAAGTTACTATTTTTAGAGTATAAGTTTTATTAGGTAGGGTAACGGATCCCTATTACTAAGACTCCGCTGTCCGCCTGGCAGTGACCGAGGTGTATCTTATAAACCATGATAGTTAGGCACTTGAAATTTTAACAGTTGATGTATTTATATTGCCGCTATAGCAACAAATACATCTTTAAGGAGGGTACTTATATTACAAATTTTTTTTATGTTTTTTATAGATATTGGTACGGAAACTATAATGCGAGATTCCGATTCGCACTTGCCCGGTTTTTTTGATGTGGTGTGTATGCCAAAAATTACTAACTCTTTAATCCAGGAGCTAGGTTACTGGTTGTAACTTTGAATAATTTCGAAATCTTTATATAAGAACAGGGACAATGACTAATTCTTATTTGTTTGTCCGTCGGGTAAATTATTATGGAATATTAAACACGTATTTTTTTTTTTATAATCTACAATTTTATCGAAAGTATATTTTACTATAATGTGTTCTGGTACTCTTTTATTTAAATCCAGAAGCAAAGATTTTTTATATGTGAAAATATGTTTTTGTTTTACTTAAGTGTTGTCGGAAAATAAGCGTGTTAGTTATATTTCAATTCAATCATGATTTCTGCTAAGCTGGTCCTCAGTATTATTCTTTTTATTTTTTATAACTTGTATTCATTGTATTCAGATGGATTATTTCTAATTATATATTTCTAAATTCGTTTATATTCCTTTACGAATTTTGTAATCATCTGATATTTTCTCTCTACTGATATATAATTAACTTTTTATCCAACTAGTTTCAATATTAATATATTTTTAATTCGTATATATCAAAAAAAAGGCTTTAAATTGAAGTAATAAAGGTGCACGTTAAAAATTTTCATATACAAAAACAACTTTTGGTGAAAAATGTATTCTATCGTAAAACCATAAATATAACAATAAATTATTTACAATATGTTAAAGGAATAAATATAGGTATCGAAAAATTGGTCTATTCATTAGAACTGGTAGATGACGCGGCACTGCCGCTTGCAGCACTCGTTTTATCATCTATGGTGTTAAGAGCGTTGGCTGCACTATTGGTTATGACATAAACATTTTGTTCCGGTTCACTCGATGCGCTGCCACCAGCACCACCAGCCCCACCAGTAGCGGCGGCACTTGATGAACTGCTACTACCACCTTCTTCGTCGCCATAATCGCCATCATAACATCTCGGGTACGTATAGATGATCGGATTGTTAGTCGGAATCGGTATAGGGTAAGGTATTGGGATGTTCCCTCCGCCGCAGCAGCTGCAACAATTGCAGTTACCCGATCCTCTGTTCCGTGATGTTAGAAGTAAAACAGTGAGGAGAACTCCCAAGTCGTCGTTGTTACTGTCTGTGCGTATTATAGGTGCGTTGTACAATTGGCCTGAAACTTCGGTTTCCTGAAAAATGGTTTAACAAAATTGGAGCATTAATTTCAAATGTTCATATTAAATTAACTTCTATTATAAAGTAATTTGAATCACAAAAATATTATGTTGAACGTAAATAGTACTCTGAAATTAATAAGTTTTAATATAAATCTATTCTTAATATTATAAAGAGAAACTATTTCATTGTTTGTTGGCATTTAATGTGCTCCATAACTACTTAAGCTATTTTTCACCCACGGGACACTATCTTATACGCGGATGACATACGCTATATAATGTTGACGCATTGATTTCGCATTTTCTAATGAAATAATTAATCGAATAACAATTAAACTAATCATTATTTAAATTATAACGATTTGAACCGTATTAATGATGATAAGTAAAAATGCTGTAATTTTCTTTAATGATATTATAGTTATCGCTTTGATTAATAATGGAGAATTTACGATGAATATATAAATAAAGAAGTATTTCAGCGTAAATATTATTACAAAAAAAAATCACTTAAATATCTTACCATATAAGTGGAAACAGCTATTATTCCTATACAAAACTGTATAAATAAAGTCTTCATATCTGAAGCTTGTCTAGCTCTTAATTATGATCAAGTAATCTATTCATTTATCTTGCTCTTCGTGTCGAGACGAACAAAAAATTAATTTATGGTAATGTCATTTATATCAGTAACATTACATCACAAGCAGATAGGTATCTAATCGGTTTAAAGAAGATCCGAGAAATTGCGAAATGTAGTCGATAGAGTTTTTGTTTATAAATACTTTTCTAAGTTACGAGATTAGATATTGATTGGTCTCACATGTTTAAATAAATTTTATTCTATTCTTTTGAAGTAAAAAACGTGAAGTGTCAAAACTTACCAACTCTCGTATTTTGTATGTTTATTATCTAACCCTACGCCCTCAACTCACCTACCTACGGCAGTTTTAATTTAACGAAACATATCTACTGTTTATAAACTTAAAAAAAAGAAACAAAACAGACAATCCCCTCTTTATATCAAATCTAGTGAAGACAATTATTACAAAAAATAAATAAACTTTAACCACAAACAAAGTTTTTTCATATTTAAATAGTATTGTTATATATCATATTTCAGTTGCATTGTACGTTACCTTAGGCTTATCTCTAGATATTATTCCTAAAATGGTAGCTATTTTTTTAATAAAAAAAGAAATTATCAAAAGGATGGCAGTTAGACTCTATATAATATTCCAACCCATTTCATTTGACCATAGTCTACGTATGAACATTGACTGATTTATTACGGTAGCGCCATATATCATGCAGCCCATATATCATAGAATATTATATAATAAACCTTCATGTGCTTATCCTTTTTTTAGTGTCCAGTGCCTTTCAATCATAAATGTAGTTATATGTCCGTCCAGTGTAAATATAACTTATATAACATATGATTGTGTGTAATATTTCATGTGCTGTCAGACCAAAAGATCTTTTTATAGAGATTAATAATCAAGTAATTAATTTTGCAGTCATCAATAATAAGGTCTAAAATCAACGGTCGAATGGTCAGTGACCCTGTAGCTCCTACCCACGGTCTCAAATGTCAAATGTTCCTCGCATGTTTTTTGTAGCAACGAACCTTCTTTAAAAAAAACCGAAACTGATTTAAAGAAATTTACATTAATTCTTAATAACCTCAAACCTGAATTGTATTCAGATGAAATTATTCCTTTCATTATAGATATATAACCATAACCAAATATAACCAATCATAATATTGTATAAGACAGGTAAAAATTACAAAAAACTAGAAGCTATCGAAATCTATCGCGTTAATACCCGTTATATATACATTCAATCTAATAAATACATTCAGTCACTAGCACAGTACAAAAATAATACGTTTTTACTGTAGTATGATTAGTAAACTGCAAATTTAAATTTTCAGGTTTACAAACAAACTAGCGATTCAATCCTCTTGATTTTTATAAGAATCTCGATGGCAATATACTAAACCTTATCTAAGTGTATTTTCAAAAGGATTTTGACAATACACTTTTCAAATAAAATATTGATTAGAATCCGTTCACTATTGATATCTTAAAATACCTACATATAAAAAAAAAACATTCAAAATTCCTCTTTTTTAAAGTAGATAAATATATATAGGTAGTCATATTCATAAAATATTACCGCTAATTCCTCGTGGTGGTCTTCGGACTGTCCCCGTGCATTGCCTACATGGAGAGGGACATCGCTATGTACCTATGCCCATGTTATTTGACTAGCCCCAGTCTGGGTTGGGACAGTAAGGGAGAGTGCCACATAACCCGCCGACTCCGCACTGGTATGCGTAACGCATTTACCAGCGTCAAAAAGGAAAAAAAAATTCACTCTCTTACTATATGAAATGTTTAATTTAATAAGAAACATCAACGAAGCTAAAATTCCGTGGTTAAGTAAATACCTTATGTACTATAGCATAGATAGTATTGCATATGAGTGGGGCCACCAACATAATCGTATTATTTGTTAAAAAAATTTAATACCCACTTTTTTGGGTATTAAAAATTAGGTTGGGATTTTTCCAGTTATTATTCTAGGAGAATAATTATTAAGCTTACGTGCACAGGGTAAGATTTACTAAAAAACTAGAAGTGACCTCTTTGGTTAGCTTAATTAATCTGTTTAGCAAAATAGCCTTGCGGTCACCAGTCACGTAGAAAAAGTCTGAGTAGGTACGTAAAATTTTCAGCTGTCGCCATACGATCACAGTACAATTTGCTATGGCCTCCTTGCTGTATAGCATAAGCTGTTTAGTTTCTAATTGGATTTGAGTGGATGTTATGAAACGAGTGTCAGGCAAGTTTCACTAATTACTCGCACATTGTGAAGCAGGTTCATTGTCACGAAGATCTTAGATGTTCGCATTGTTTACACGTGTCGACGCGTAGGATGTGCGATTTCATTATCATAACAACAAAACTTGTCAAAATTAAAACTACCTTTTATATATTATTTGTATGGTAAATTTGTAAATTACAAATGTTTATGTCTGTAGTCGATTTCTGATACATGATCAGGCTGGACTCGAATCAGCTGCCTTTATCACAGACCCGTGTAATTGCTCTTCTAGCTGAACTACCGGAAATCTAACAACAATGACAACTACTAATTTTTTTGTTGCTATTCATCAAAGCGTATTTCCAAGTAAATCTATGGATTCCACGTAAAGAAATATGAATAATAAATTTTATTAAAAATACCCAGATTTTTCTTTTTGCAAATATTTAAACCTTAACGCGAAAGTGATATTAATATTTTTTTAGTATTTTCGATCTCTACCTATATCTTCACGCGGAATCCTTCGCTGATAAAATTTAAACTAATTGAATAGAATAAAAATAATTAAGATTTATTTTAATAATTTAATATTACACCAATAAAATTATTTGTTTAATAAATAATTGGATCTATCGTAAAATCTTCTGGGTTAACACTTTGACAATATTTTCGATTTTTTCTTACGGGACCATTAATTATAGCATTATTAACTGACACTGGTATTGGATATGGCATTGGAATGTATCTATTACCACAACTGCCACTACATCCGGTATTACCATCATTATTTAATAGTGTGGCTAAAATTATTGGAAGTAAATACTTAAAGTTGTTTCTAGAAGAACCTTGGATTATTATAGGAGGCATTGGTGGGAAAAATGGAGGAGCTTGTGGTGGCATAAAATTAGATACGGGATTGGTTAAAACTGGAAGATTAATCTCTATATTATAAGGTATAGGGAACTCAATTCCAACATTGGTATTCGCTAATTGTTGAATGTCCAATGATTCTGAAACTAAAGTGTTACTCGTGTCTATGACCTCTGGAATTGGACTGACTATTGTTGATTGTATGTTTACTTCATTAACATTAGATTCATAATTAGAGATAATGTTGTTCTCAAACTGATCATTGAAGTCAGGAAAGTCATCAAAGAAATCTTCGTATCGTAGATAGGTGTATATCTCCGCTTCATCGATGTCTCTTGCTGTAGAATACGATTGTGTAACTGGGAAAGGTAATAGAGGTGGGTAACTCTGCATAGGAAACAGCACTGGTGACATATTTAAATTTGGAGATGTTGAAGGAATAATTATTGGCTTCAAAGGCCTAAAAGAATTTTGAATTACGGATAAAGGTGGAATTTTCGTCGGAATCGCAGGAAAAGAATTGATCTGATATGATGTCACATCAGGTGTTTGGACAGGAATAACAGGTGTATCTGGCAGTATAGCACAATTTTCCCTTTGTGGCCACATTGGTCTAGTAGATGACAGTTCTGGTGGTGCTCCATTGGCATTTGCAACTACAAGTGGTCTATTTATAAACTGAGGTCCAGAGAAATTCGGAGTAGCTGATATCAGTTCTGGTAGAGCTCCATTTCCAACTATAAGTGGTCTTTTCAAAAACTGGGAGCCAGGGAAATTCGTAATAGCTGGCAGTAGATCTGGTTGTACTCCATTGGCATTTGCAATTATAATTGGTTTATTTATAAACTGAGATCCAGGTAAATTAGGATTGAAGCCAGGATATTGCGTTAAATCTACTAATGGTATATTTTCGGCTGTTGCTTGGCTCAAACCATATTTTCCAACCTGAAAAAGGAGAATATTAATTATTGTTTACTCTGATGAAAAATATTTACAGTTTTTAGTTTTAGGGACATAATAAAAAAATTATAAACATGAATGCCATAATTGTACCACACGAGGAAAAGTAAAAAGTTGTATTATGGCTTACACAAGTTTTATTGCATTTGGGGAACATTTCAGTGGAACATTTGTAATCTAAGAGCTCCTTCGACCGCAATGATAATTTTGTTTATCTACTTGATTACAATTTCTTTCTTTTCTCTGTTTGATCACTCGTGATTTTTAATTTTTAATCTACTCTTTTTTAATGAGCAGTTAATGTATACAAGTTATATCGATATTTTTGGAATGGACTTATCAAGACCTTTAATTTTATAACCCATATTGCTATAATTAAAAAATATATATTTTTTTTATACCTAAACATGCAGTCTTTCAAAAGTTACGGTAAAATAAAGAAACTCATATTCATTTATAAATTCATTAACCCTAACACAATACAGTGCTTTTGTGGGCAGTCGTGTAAAGAGTAGTCATTGTGATTAGGTAGTTGATTTTGTGATTATTAAACTAAGAGAAATTTTTAACCATCAATATTGTTAGAAATGTATTTAAAATCGTTGCATACTTAATCACTTACTCTTTTAGTTGTTTGGCAATTGCCCATAACATCGTTCAAGTTCATCGTTCAATTTCGTAAATAATATAATAAAAATACTTACGAAAAATATGAGAAAATAAAATGACCCTATCGTCCACGCTTCCATTTTACTTACTAGTAATTATGTCAAATTTTTACCTAATATACTGACATATTTCGTTAACTTATTATCAGTTTACAGTAAAATACTTACATAAGCAAAGGTAATATTTATGTCACCGTCACACATAAATTTGTATATTCAGATAAGATAAAGGCATTAGCATTATTTATTACAGTAAATATCCATTTCCTGGGCAAACAGCGTTTTATTATATAAATATTCTTAATGAATTTTTTTTCAAAAATCTACTTTTTGCCAGGGACAAAGTGGATTTTAGCATTCTTTATTAAACAGCTTTTTTGAAGTCCAATGCAATAAATCGAATTACGTAGAGAAATGTGGAATTGGCATTTAGAAAGTTCTCGATGACTCAGTGTTGCTGCGTTCGGTTTGCGATATGGAAACTAACTTGTAATAGTTGCTTAGTTTCATAGGATCATCATCATCAGCCCTTTTACGTCCCCACTGTAGGGGTTCAGGTCTTCCCTATAGATGGTTAAGGATCATGACCCTCCACGTTAGCCCAATGCGGATTTGAGGGTATTAATAACTGCAAATGCACCCTGGACTAACGGTCTTCCGAAGCATGGAATTTTTGGATGAATGACAAAAACTTTATTACCTCGAGTTCCATCGTGTTGCAGTAGGCACGTTGAGTCCTAGATACAATTGCAGTCGTTAAAATCCACAAATTTTCATTAAGCCTGCGTGGTTAGTTATGGCCCATTCCTCCATTCAATTACATCTACAACGAAAGCCTGTGCCCAGTGGACATTTTAATAAGTAGATAGATGATGACGATTTTGAAATACCACATGTTCTGTGTGTGAACTATTAAGAGCTAGCCAGTCATCTTCACAGAGCCATAAAAGAACAAGTAACCACTTTTCCATACTAATATTATACAGAGGAAAGATCTGATTGTTTATTTGCAACGAATATGCTCCAAAATTTTTGGATTGATTTTAAAAATTCTTTCACCAATGAGAAGCTAAGTCAAGTGTGAACATAAGCTATATTTTATTCCGGAAAACAACAAATATAGGGATGGAAATGGCAGTGGAAGTATACGGAATTAAAACTTACCCATAGTAGCTATTTTTTATTATTTAATTTGGCATTGTAATTATATTCTTGTTATGATATGAATCGATATTCAATTATACAGTTCTCTAGGGACCACGGGTTTTTGCTGGTGGAAAGCTAGTGTTTTATAACTCAAATGATTCTTTGTAATCATTGATATTGATTTTAAAATTAATCAAATAAACTCAATATAAATAGCTTTTATTTTTGTGTGTCTTGTGTATTAATAATTATATATTTGTTACAGGTAAACAGAAATAAGGAGGAAAAATTGTGTAATCAGTAAACATACGGTATGTATATTGTTTATCATTATAGAGAAATGAGTTTCTGAATTGGATATTGGATTGGGTCTGGTTGACCTATCCCTGTTCTTATCAACTAATCGATAGATATTTATAAGTTTACCTATCCACGGTTATCAGTTAAAAACACTGATATTATAGGTTTTTTATTTTCTTTTTTTTTTACCCGAAATACACCTTTATTTTACATCCCTCAAAGACGCACTAATTATGGAGCTAACACTGTTCTCACTAGACTACCTAGAAATTACAATAAAAAATTTCATTTTATTGATTTTTTTAATTGTAGTAAAAACACTTTTAAGAAACATATAAACAATTACTTAAAAAACAGCAAGCACAATTATTAACGATTTTATATTTAAATTCACAAGACGTAGTTGATCTAATATAATAAAATGAATAACAGAATATGAAATCTCATGGTATCTAATTTTACATTGTATATGTAATGTATAATGTAAGTTATATGAGTATGTATGTACTGTATATGTGTGTATGTATATGTATATATAAGCATGTGTAAATGTTCTTTGCCTATTTTGCTATTGGGATATATAAATATGTGTCCAAGTGGTGGAGTGGGTAGGGAGCATTTTGCTAATGTTTACAGGTTTCATAATTATTTTGGTTGTTATTACGGTGCTGCGGTGCTGCCCGGTGTGGTGTAAGTGATTATTTTGTTACTCTGCGATGTATAAAATAAACTGTTCGAGGAGCTCACGAATTTAGATATGTATGATGAGTGTGTGTGTGTGTACGAGTGTCAAGGTTGTGTTGATTTTAAATTATAAATAATAATCCCAGTCCAACTGTTAAGGACATACAATTGGTTTAATTCAGGAAAACCTGTAATTAGCTTTACTCTTTGTTAATATTAAGTCTTAACTATTCTAATTTTGTAAAAGCTGTTGGTTTTCTAAGAATAAAAAAAAAAAAAAAAAACAACACGACTTACACATTATCCATCTAAAATGAGTCAACAATGGGCCATCTCTGCTAATTAGTGAGTAGTATATTTTATACAATAATCGCGTCTTAATAGTAGCTCGCTAGCGTAGTGGATAAGCGCCGCGGCCCGCGATCGTTGTCATTAAGCAACTTTCGCAAGGGTTGATCACGGGATGGGTGACCAAAAGATTATTATCTCGAGCTACTCCATACTTCAGTTGGCGCGTTAAGCAGTTGATCTCGGCTGCATTTACAGTCGTTAATACCCTCCAATCTGCATTGGGCCAGCGTGGAGGGTCATGGCCCATTCTCCTTAACCATCCATAAGGAAGGCCTGAGCCTCTGCAGTGGGGACGTAAAAGCGCTGATAATGATGATGATGACTGTGTACCTGATGTCCAACATTATTATATAACTGTCACCATTGATTTATGAGGAAAACATTGTACTAAGCTGAGATTCTATTGTGGTGGGATTATGGTAGAAACATAATAGAATCAACGTATCTCAATTTTACGTTTTCTTTTCTTTCATTGTCAATTTGATTTAGGTGGCTTTTCGTATATAACGAAGCACTAAGTTTGGCCTCGTTTTATACAATAATAGACGGAAAGAGCTTTGTCCTTATCCAGAACTCTTTTTCATGCTCTTTAATAAGACATGTTATCCTACCCAGTCCTTGTAAATATACCCAAAGGTTCTTTTAGTGAATCCATTTGCCTAACTTGTTTTATCAAAAAAATACACATGAGAATAAAGATTCTATTTTTTGAGAATGAATTACGTAATACGTTGGAAATTACTGATTATGATACTTATACCCTTTTGTGAAGATACGTCTCGAAAGCTCGTGTGATTTATTGACTAGTAGTTATTCTTTTTACCTTAATCAGAAACAATATGTTGTCTCGACAATGAGGTTTCACCATAATAGTATTTTATTGCCGAAAAACAATCGTCGTAGGTGGCTAGCGGGCCCGAGAGGCGATTCGTATTTCGGAAACATAAGTGAAGTTTTTGGAACACGTATTTTAACGGTGATTTATATGACTACTATACGAGAGGAATGACGAAATTGCATTCAATGTGTAATTTGAAATTCAATAATATTTATGAGAACGATGCCATTTTTATTACATGATATAAGCATATAATATATTCAATGATTTTAAAAAGGATTTGACACAGTCAGTCATTTCCAGTTACTTTAAAAGATTGAGAGCATTGTTATTATTGGAATAGCACATAATATGACGAAATCATATCTATCTGATAGGTATCAAGTTGTAATGATTTGAACCAAAGTAGGCCCAATCTCTCAACCTGTAGTGTGTCTCAAGGCTCAATTCTTGGCCCATTACTTTTTCCCATTCATATAAATAGTTTAAAATGGGTGCCGTTACATGGTCATTCTCTCCATACAGCCCTGCGATTCTATAAAAACCCAAACCCGAATTCGAATTCTCTCAGGTGTCCAAATTCATTTCGAAAAGCGGCATTCGCTCAATTTTGAATTGGTAGTAACGTTTCGTGGCATAAGTGAAGTGTGTTTTGGAAATAACATAGGAATAGAATATCTGAGACACGTAAAATCAAACAATTTTGTTTTGTATTTTATACAAAAAATGGAATCAATAGAATTTCATTACAAAATCACGTGAATTCGGACACATTAGTGAATTCGAATTTTGGTTCGGAATTTTACAGATTCGCCCTGCTGATGATACCTTGTTGTTTTACTTTAGGTACCAGATGCAAGAAATTATTAAAAATACTCACGAAGACTTACACACCTTACATAAATTAGTTTCAATATAACCTTCTTACAATTAATACTTCTAAAACGTCCTATATTAGTGAAAAGAATTTAAAAAAATCCAAACATGTTCAATTAAATATCAATGGTGAATTCCGACAGAAAAACAACGATTCGTATTTACCTAAACTAACCTAACTTGGAAAGTCCGCATTAATCATATTTTCAACAATTTTTCTGTATAGTGTAGTTATTAAATCAAATCAAATTAAAATAATTTATTGCATGTCATAATAAAACTATAAGATTTATTGTGACATGCAATAAAATCATAAAAAAATATTAGGTGGGATTGTTCCAAAAATAGCTGCAAAACTTAAGAACGAGTGGAGTATTTCAGTGAATATTATTTTAAATATTTGTAGAAATTCGACTTCTTTTCTTATACAAACTAGATTGTGATTGATATAGTTAAAAAAATACTGGTTATAAGTATTTATTTTAAAATTTCACAATGCTCACAAACTCTAAGAATAAAATGCTTCCGAGGAAATCATAAATCATAGAGTAATAGAGAATCACAGAACCGAATTAACGATGTGTTATTTTCCATCCATTTATAGTTATTGCTTAATAGAGCTTGACTGTGGGGTGCATTTTGAGAGTCACCAAAGTTGTAAAGGAAATGGATTTCCTGAAGGGGACTCCTTTAATAGTCATCGAATTTGATCTATCCTGTTAAGTTAACATACTTCATGATGTAAACAAGTATTCGTCATTTTTTTACTGTGCTCTATGGGAGGAACCCGGTATCTATATTCCC